TTTAACTGGAATGTCATATGCATTTCTTAATATTATATACTGTCTTCCTCAGTAAAAATAAAAATCAAATCAGGAAAACTATCTCATAATCTAATGAATGACTTGAGACATGCACAAGAGCTAGACTTAGTTTCAGTGCAAATACTACTGCTCAGCGCAACTTAGCCTGCAAATTGGGATAACGTCTGCTTTAGCGAGACACAGAACCTCTCGTCACCAACCACTAATAAGCTGGGGTATGCAGAAGGGTTCTCCAGCCCATGAGACCACTCTGCAAATAAGAAGGTCTTCAAAAGAGAGAGAAATAAAATAAGCAGAAGTTTTCTGTTCTCAAATACCCTTTTGAGTTTCACTCGCCAGGCGTTTACAGTATGTCTTCCTAGTAATCTAGAAGTAACGTAGCACACTAATACACATTTTATGTTTTCAGTAATTTGGGAGTTATCTGTTTTGCGGAATCAAAAACACCTTCTGAAAAGCCTGTTCTGGAATTTAGAAATAACCTTCCAAAATCAACAACATACCATTATGTTTACTTGCTGTTCTTACTATATTTATAGAATATATTATAAATTACAGCTATTGGCTTTGGATGCCCTACTGAGCTTAATGTGTATATCAAGCAGCCAAATTTATCCCATGAGTTGAAAGAACCTGTAAACACTTTWGATGGCATTTGTTAAAGACTAACTACAGTGATGAGCACCACAGATAAACTCAATGGGAAAGTTATTCTTTCTACACAGAAGCAATAAGTATTGCACAACGAACAGGACAAGAAGTCATGTGGAACTCTGGTGTGAACCGTGTAATGCAGGATTCCCATGGCAAAAAGATAGGAGATTGTGTGACTGCAAATTTCCAGTGTACRTGTGACAAAGGTGTAGAGATGCAACCCAGTTTCAACATTCAYTTCATCAGGACTGCATGAAGCAGGTTAGTAAAATATCTTCAGAGGTTTTTTATTTATTTATTTATATAGAGCTGGAAACAGCTAACATGTATTTCTTGCTCAAGATAAAAGAATTATTTTGCACAGCTGTTAGTGTAACAAGTGCAAGTGAACACTTCATTGATGCTATACAAAACTCAGACCATGTCTAATGTCTAATATATCTGACTGGCTGCCTGTGTCCAAACAGACACGCTTTGCTTACTGTCAGTTTAATTTCCACTGAGTAGCTGACAGGCCTTTTCAAATCAGAGATATCATTAGAGAGCATGGTGAAAGGTAGTCTGCGAGAATCATTAATGACCATCCTAAATCACTGTTGTATTAAGAAATAATTACACATCTTCTTTTCCCCCRCTTTTTGATCACCTAAAGGATACAACTTCATAAGGAAGGGCTTTCAAAATTCCTTTTTTTTTCCCCTCTTAATCTGGGTTCTTTTCAGGGCCATCATGGGGTCTTTTAAAACTTGACATATGCATTCCATAGTTTGGGAACCACGAGAAACCTGTTCTGTTCTGTCTGTCTAGATCAGCACAGCTTATTACAGAACACAAAAAATGTAAAGACTAAGCACATTTTTTACATGTCGGGGGCTATGATAAGTTCTGTTACATTACTTGTGTTTCTCTTTTTCCGGACAATTTGTTCTCTTGGAAGGATTTTACAGGAACTATTTAAGATTTCTTAGCAGCGGCAATTTAAATGCATCTAAGAGGCAGAATAATTTTACATTTATCACCTCCTCCYCCCCCTAAAAAAAAGGGCCTTAAATTAGCAGTATACGTCACTACAAATTGCAGCAGAAATTCTCTTGGCTCCCCAGAGCTTCCTCATAATACTGAAAGTTTCTAGCTATTCACCACAYATACAACTTCAACAAACATGCTTGCTCTGCAAGATCTACTTCATACAACATTAACTTCTAGACATAAAAAAGTGGGGGTTATTTAATCATGTATTTTTATCAACCAAGATTAACTGGAAAGCACAGCTGCTTTTTTMAAGGTAGAAACAGACTAAGCCCTCAAGGAAGGCATCAGGGATAAGAGGGTCACTTGAAATGTAAACACTACTTCCACCTGCCACAGGACAGTGTTAGCAGAGTAACTACTAAGTTATCTTAACTCTTGAAAGTTGCTTTTTGGATTCATGCCACAGAAAACCTGTCTACCGAGACAGATATTCCTGACCCGGGATTGTTTCTGGAACAAGACTTCTATTATGTGTAAACTCCTTATATTTACTGCACCAATAACTGGCCTGCAGTTATAACAAAATATATCTCTTTTCTCTTAGGTTGGGGATATAGTAAATACACCTAGAAATCAAGCTGAATTGATTAAGCTGGAGCACCCATAAATAAAAAAATAGTACCAGGCTTTCAGGGCATGCTATCAAATYAAACCAAACTGTTCGAACTATAGAAAGCTCTGCTTAAATACACTTCTAAATTAAAAAAAGATCTGTGAACTTATCATTTCATAGCAAAGTTCTTCACTCCCAGTAGGGAGCAGAACCTTGATTTAATACAGGCACAGTTTGCCCACAACTACAGTTTATCACTTGTCTTTTACTGAAAGAGACTTATGAAACCATTAGCTCATGTCTAACCTAAGCCACTCTGGGTATGCACCACRCTTTCCTCAAACACTATGAAGAGAACACAAGCATGGCAAAGCTCTAACTCCAAGATTTMTTTTCCCCTTATAGTAACTGGTGCTCTTTCCATCAAGATTTCCTCACAGAATTTTCAGCAAATAGAAACCTCCAATACTGGCARCACTGAAGAAAGCTATACTGTAGTAGTAAACCTGAGCTTTACACAGCATCAAACCAGTCAGTATTAGCTTGTATAGGTTTTAAATATGTCAGGTTAAGTCATCCTTGCAATTGCTGATTCTCAAAGAGCTGTGTCACATCGCACCTGATCTGAATTAACTGCTTGCAGACTCTCCTTGAAAGTGAATTAACACACATACACGTCTGGAGCAGTTCCAAATTCCTAGAGCTCCTTTTCCCATCATCAGAAGAGATGAGATATAAGAACACTGGGACGGTTTCAGATCTTTAAATTTCATGCTAGTACAGATCTTCCTATGCCTACAAGAAAACCTTCACAAGTCAGTAATGAAAAAACACTACTATACCTGAAGTTTTCTAGTGACTGSAGCAAACATTTTTTCCCCCTTGAGAAATTTTAATATGGGAAATTAAGAAACAAAATAATACATACTTCTTTCTACCACTGTAGGTTAAAATGCTGCTCTCCCAAAAGAGGAGCTGCAGATTTCACAAAACTTTTAGGTGCATTTTCCTCTTTTCAATAGCAGTTTTTGTCTCAACTGCTTCAGAAACAAAAAGTTTGGGGTTACCTTTTTTCCTTTGGCCACCTAAAACAGGGCTATTTCCCCCGACACTAACACAGGTGTTTMAACTGCTTCAAGCAGCTTTAACTCCCGCTTTCTGCGGCCAGTACCTTGTGTCCCGCTGCGCGGCTCGGGCTCGGGCTGTGCCGAGGGCAGCGCTGCAGCTGCTCCTGCGGCCCCAGGGCAGCTACTGCGGCTGAACCGCTGCTCCCTCTTGGCCCTCTCCTACCGGCATCACACACAGGTTCTTCCTAGCTCATCCTCCAAGGAAAAGCAGGAGATGGAAACGAAGGAGAAAAGAGTTTAAGCCTGCACTGAAGATTTAACTGCAGAAACAACCACGGCAGCAGTTTCAATAGTTTAACTTCAGCCAAATGGGCAGTATTGCAGCCTCCACCTCTTCCCAGGTTTATATTCCCACCTCCTGCTTCCTGTCAGGATTGGCCCACGTCCATCTACATGGCAGCCTGGCTCAGGGTGCTCAGCTGATGAGTTTCTGTTATTATTTTCCATTGTCAGGACTGTTTCAGGTTCTGCTAGCTTAACGCATTACCCTGGCTTTACTGTGTGGGGAAGCAAAATAGTCARTTCAGAACAGAAAGCAGGAACACACTGGAAGGAACAGAGCAAGAGTGTGACTGCAGAAGCAACAAACAGCTTTGGAAGGAGTTGTTTTAAACTTTCTAAATGACCTTCCAATCGCTTTAAACCACCTAAAGTGAAAACACCCGAAAGTCACCTTTCCTCAGCTAGAAACAGCTCCATCAGGCAGAGACAGTAGGAGTCAATCCCTTCAGAACTTAACACTAAATGTATTTACTGATGTCTTCTAACATTTTGCAAGTATTAATTAAGCTTTAGAGAATTCAATATGAAAGGTAAATAAATAAGAACTCAATATTAAGTCTTCTTATTTTTTCCCCTTTAGCATCACTAAATACCATCCAGGAATTATCATGCCTGTCTACTTCCTTTTCAGGTCAATAGGAAATTAAATCTTAGATCAAACATCCAATACTACATTTTGCTATATAAAACTTGATTCACCTACATTTTTTTGCTTAGTGAAGGATTCTGAGTCAAATAACAAAGACTGACATAATTCCATAGTCATTTTAACTGATCGTATACTGAAGAATTTACAACTCCCCCATGGAACTGACAGCCCTGTATCTGCTTTCACTGTCGGTATTTGAAGTGCATCAAGGACACAACTTCAGAAAASAAACCAAATCTTTTCCCCTTCTCTCCCTTCCTTATCCAGGCTCCACTCCCCCAGTTTTAAAACTGCAGAGCTTTACGTCTCTCCTGCTGGAAAACAACATAAATGCCAAWAGTAACAGGTTTCTAAAAATCACAGCCCAACTCGTAATCTGAAAAGTAAAGCTTTCCTTGGAGAGCTGCTTTATAAAGAGTTTTGTTGTTGTTCTTTTCAAATAAATTGTTCAATGACAGCTCTGAAGAAACAGTAGGTATTAGCCTGCTTAATGACCATAAAAAGCACAAGTCATCTGCAGTTCAMTAGTTTTACTCCTAGAACTTCATGCTGACCTTAAAATTCTGATTCTGACCTTAAAATTCTGTCACTCTTCCTGAGTGACACAGGTTGCACTTCAGGGAAGATAAATCTTGAGGCAAAATGCATGTTTTTGCACAAGCAAGAAAAATACCAAACTTACTCTCTAGTTCTTCCTTTTCAAAGTTTGTGTTGATAGTAGAGCTGATTTTGCCCATATCCACAACAGCTTCTTCATCGTGACCCTGAAGAAACAAGAAAACCCAATTAAAACTAAATAGAATTGTTCTTTTAACAGCATATTTTGCAGTAATCATTCTTTTAAAAGTGCTGCATTTACCAATTTTACAATCTTAAGTCTTAAAATCTTGAGGCTGTTTGTCATAGAGTTCCCTAACATCACAGAAGCTCAATTTCTAAACTGAGGAAGTAAATGGTGCAAAATATCTACCAATTCTTCAACACTATCCTGTCCTGAACAGAAATGTCTTACTACATGGAGAAAACATTAATTTGAATAGTAAAACTAGTCAGCTACATGTCATAAGATTATAAAGCAACATGTGTCTATATGTCTAGTCTAGTATAATGATGTATGCCTATACTAGCAAACCTAATAATTATAATTTTGAAATACTTGAGATGCTCCTACACATCTGAAAAATACTCAGTTGCCAGAGTATTGAAGGCAGAGACACAGACAAAGACAAAATCCATTTCCGAGTTAAATTCTGGCTGGTGTCACAAAAAAAAAAAAAAATAAAAAAAAATAAAGCACAAGAGTGGAAAGAACGAAGGGACACAGAACACAGAAGCTGGCTTGAAAAACCTCACAAAACAAATGCTGTCTACAGAAACCTAACGCCATCTCCTTTAAGAGTACCACTGAACAGAAGCTCAAGTTGTTATAATGGAAAAGCAGGGAGGAAATTCCCTGGTACTCTGAATGTCATGGAATTTCCTTTTGCAAAGCTCCCGATTTCACTWTTTCAAGGAGCAGGATATTCATTTCAGGAGAAGAACGAACTAAAGATGGAGTGTTCTAGAAAGAAGGTGTAATTTGGTCACTACCACTGCCTGCAGAAGTCAAGATTTGCGCACACCTTAGAAAATAATCACAACCCTTCAGCACTCCAGATGGTGACAAACAAAAGCTTTGTGAGCTTGAACTAAAGCCATGCCCGACAGGCCAACCTCTAAAGCGTTGCCAGGACCTGCTGCAACAAAGGGGCACAAGTTGGGAACTACCAGATTAATAAAATCTAACGGAGATGGAGGGGAAGGGGCGGGGAAGGAAAAGGCCCATCAAAAGCTCATCCACATCAGCTTTTGGTCACAAGCCACACAGGCTGCTGAAATATCCTGCCATCTACTCTTGCTCTATCCTGCCCCTTCACTTTTTTTTATTAAAAAAGAACAAAAGGCCTGAAAGTTGGCGAAACTCACAGTTCTACAGCAACCCGGGAAGACACTGTTTTTCCATAGACACTGTCTGTACTGGAGGAAAGTTACACACCCGCAGACAGTAAAAAACTCACATGCAGAACAAGGTTCTCTTTTCCCCCAGTAACATTTTAAAACTGTATTTGCTGGAGCACTTGCCATGCCATTTGTATTAATCATCCTTTCAATTTAGTAACAGAGGTACCTGGCCAATTTTGTACATACAGGAGCAGCCTGCGGAGGCGCCTCATGTGAAAGTAGCGTCTTCTGAGATTAGATTACGCGAAGGCACGCGTGCCCGCACGGCCCCAGCCAGCACCATGCACTCGACATACGCAAGGGCTCTTCCAAGAAGAAACCATCAAGAACCCCAAATATCACACGTGAAGAAAGCTTCTCAGGTACAGTCTCAGCTTTGAAAATTCTTACTGTAACTGTGTGCGATGCTGATAGCAAATCCCACCAAAAGGCATTTTAACCTTAGGCCAGGCAACACCACAAACCTAAGCTGAAGCTACAACATTTTCCCGGCTAAAAATAAAGTCTGTAGGGCAGAGGTTTCCAGTAAATATAGAAGCTCTACCATGTCCACGTGCGATATAAGGGTGAGAGAAAACAGTTTCAGCTGTTGAATCAAAACATGTTCCATTCCGATTCATCCTTGTTTATACATGTTAAAAAAAGCTCATCGAGTGAGGAGGAACTGCTTGCAACGAGTGAGCACAGCAGCATCACCGCAGCGAGCGTTCCTCTGCAGCTCACCAGGGATTTCATGGGAAACYGCCTATGGTAACCCCACAGATGCACAAAACCAGTTAACAAAGATAGGTTCAAGTAAAACTTCAGATTAACTTCTGCCTAACGCATGTAACATTTCTACTGAGGAGATGATAAAAGAGAGAAAACTGATGGAAGCGCCAAGCAAGGTGGCCTGGAGTTTAAAGCCAGTGACAGCCTTGAGCTTGGGTTTGTTTTACAAGGAGGTGGTCAATTATAAAAATAAATGAAAACACAAAACAAAAAGATCCAGAGGCAAAAAAACATAAACTAGAAGAAAAAAAACAAAACAAACAACAAAAACACTCCCAGGAATTCTACCCTGATTACACTAAACTACACGTACCCCACGCACACTTCTTCCTACCGACAACTCCTGAATACCTGCAGAGATCCTAAGGATGCAAMCTTCCAGTAACCTTCATATTCAGCCCCGTGTGCTTTGTATGCGTCTTCTCTGTTGGTCTTCTGACCCATTTCCCTAGTGATTTTACAACAGCATGAAAACAACCCCCCTTCCTAACTGTTGCAGGCCAGACAGATGTTTGAATACTCTTTGCTCTAGAGGAATCCTGCCAGGACTCCTCTCATCACCTGTATTTTCACATCCCTTTCGGCCAGAGAGAAAAGAGGAATTTCCCTTTTACTGCAGTCAAACAAATAGCCAGAAGTGCCTCACACTCCACTCACATTATCAGTCATGATGACTGTTCAACAATCCTGCTATCCAGGGAAGACTGGAATGTCTAATGGTGGAAAATGTGCCTGGGCGGGCACCCTTGCCGCTTACCTAGAGAAAGGAAAGGGGTGGGGAAAATCAAATATACTTGCATTGTGCAGCACATTGCCCACTAGCTCTTTGATAGCAGAAGGAAAGTGCTTTGTGGGGGAGAAAGGGGGACAATTCAAAGGTTTTTAGTGTTTGTATTAAAACAGGGCATCTAGGTGTCAGCACAGGCATAGCAAAAGCACCGAGTTTCTAAACAGCAACTTAAACCAGTCCAAGACTCTTTTCTCTAGAGAGAAGGCAACTCCTTTGGAGAGCCTCTTAGAGGCAGGTCTGGAGCAGCTCACAGGAGCTCCAGGGACAGAGTGTGCCTGGAGTACCCAATACAGGACTGTGACAAAGGGCACCACCTTACAGCRTAGCTACACTCTGAATATTTAACACCAAAAATAAAATGGTAGGAGCACTCTATGCTTCATCAAAGTGTGTTTTAAAACTAAGTCTAAATTGTGTGAGCATTGCAAGTGGGGTTGCAGGGAAGARACTGTCAGCCTCCAACAGCACGTGTCAGTAACTGTCGGTCGGGCTGGCACAAATATGACGCACTAAAAATGAAGTCCAAAGGAAACTTTCCACTGTTATCTGTACAATCTCTTCTCACCATGCAGCTTGCCTAACGTTACACAGTCCCATACACATGACAGACTTAGATGGGCCCCACGCCAAACTGCTGCTCTCAGTAAGAACTACTTCCAAATCATGCATCTTGCTGGCAACACTTCAGATGCTTAAAGCGCAATTCCCTCCACTCTCACTCTGCTGATAGCAATCACACAAATGACCAACACTGTTAACTTCTGGAACACAGAAGTAATATACTAGTTGCAGGGAGAATAATTGGAACACAACATTTGGAAGCATTACTTAGCTCCTCTGCCCCATATACATCCCCTCAACACCCAAGTTCTTCTCCAAGCTAGCTGGAAAACTAGCAGAAGCCAAGAAAAGGCCGCGCCGGTGGTTGYGGGAGGAAGCGGGACACACGAGAGGACCCACAAACACATTTTGCTGGCCGCTTTGACAACAGAGCTTACCCTTTTGCCAGCTCAGGCTCACCACCACCTTGCTACCAGGAACCCTCATTGTAGCAGATTCAGCAAGGGCAGCTACTTGGGTAAGAGGGTTTTGACATCTTCACTTTGGTTTTTAATACATCTGTCAYTAGCCAAGAGTTTAAAACCTTTTCTTCTGATACTGTCCTGCTACAACTGTGCACACTTTTTGGACGAGCCCTATGCAGTGCTCTGTGATTATAATCATAGAATGATAATGCTTGTAAAAAGGCTTCCAAGGTGATCTAGTCCAATTGTAAATCATATCCCATAATCTCTTCCGATTAAGCAGAACACAAAGATCTGCCTTTTCTTGTCCCTTTGTGGAAGGGGAGGTGAAAGGGGGAGAGGAATAGGCACAATGGGACAGTAATTTCCRTTCAAGTTTGTGAACTCATCTACATCTTAGAGCTGCCAAACTTAGCAGGTGGGATTCAGCTCTTTGGCTGGAGGAGGGCACCAGTAAACCTTACCTCACAGAGCAGAGCAACATACTCCTTACAGCCCTATACAGTACACTACTGCACATTTACATACCTAAAATCAACAACAACCAGAGTTTTGGTACCTGTATTTTGCTCTTTGTATTTAGGGCATCAGTGCACAGGAGCAGCTGTGCTGAATGAAACCAGACGGCCCATCCAATCCAGCATCCTGGCTCCAAGGATACAGCAACAGATGCCTACAGAAACTTGCCAGGAAAGGCAAAAACCAGTGCAGACAATTCACARCACTGGCTAACCTGGACCTGGGAAGCAGAGCCAGTCACATCAATAATGACTGTACTGTCACCTGTTAACTTTATCGAACTTGCATTCACATTCATAAGACAGGTGATTGCTATGGAGGTTTCAGCTCAAAACAAAAGTAAAACAAAGATCCAAGGCACTCACTAGAGTCCCTGCTAGACAAAAGAGAACACCATAGCAAGGGCTTCTGACAGGAACGACTAGAAGGGAGCAGCACTTGGAAAGCCCCTAAATACTGTTTTACTTCTCCAAATTGAATCTGCCTTTAAGTCAGGGGTAAACTGCTGTCTGCTGTGGAGAGGAGAGAGCTTGCAGAGACAGACACTTCCTTAAAGACAAACAGCATGTGAAAAACCACTTCTTCACAGGGAGGAACAAGGCTATCATTCAGCCATTAAACAGTCTTAGCAGAACTGCACAAGTTATCCTATAAATCGTTTTAAATAAGTTGTTTGGGGACAGTATCACCTACACAGCAAAATACACACACACACACACATATATATATATATAATGCGTATTTTGCTCCCCCATAATGCGCCCCAAATGAAAGTGTGCTGAGTGTAAAGGGGGGCTAGTTCATTCTGTTGGCACGTGACTTTCAGCTGGTCTTGCCCTTTAAACACACACAGATGAGCACATGAATGAAGTGTTCCAAAACAGASCACTTTCCACTTTTAAATTGGGAAATACACTACTGATGGATCCTCCTTGCTCCCGTTCGCTATGATCTCATTTGCACTGGGACAGCTGGTTTACAGATTTTTTCCACCATCAGAGCAGGAGCTATTACCCAAGTATAGCCGACTCAGATCCAGCTCAAGCCCTTTTGGTTTGTTTGTTTGGCTTTCTACTTGTTTCCTTTTTTCCTGGGAATTTTAYCCGTGGTTACACAATTGCTACATTGCACAGCTATCCTCACATGTAAATCATGACCCCTGTTCACAGCAATACTCAGAAGCCTTACAGGAAAGTCTGACAGAGGCAACCCCAACCCTATAGAAAAAGAGATGGATTTGGTTTTTCCTATTTAACTAATCCCCTAAATAACTGCTCAGTTTATTCTCTTAAAACTGAAAGTTAACCGCTCCCTTACAAATATTCACAAAAAAAACGAAGGAACTACACAAATGCTCACTCTGGACACTTAATGGGGGTACTCCAGTAGCTCTCCTGAATTTTTATTTATTTCTTCAAAATTTTGTGGAATACAGGGAAGAAAAATGCAGATGTTACAAAAAATAACAATAACCATCATGACTCACAGGGAAAGCAGTTCTAAACAAGTTAATGGTTGAATATATTTTGCTTCCTGCATAAGCAAATGAGCAATTTTTATTAACAATTTTTTTTTTTGGTAGTTCTACAAAACACTAATTGGGTCTCTATCATGTTAAGAAATACAGGGCAAACTATATCCCAGATAAATCACAAATTAGTCTTTAGACAACAAAGTCATGTACAAATCATAATGAAAATTGAAATAACAAGAGAGAAGCAGGAAGAGGAAGCATAAACCCTAAAGAAAGACTTCTCACAGTTTATATCTAAAAAAAGAGGAAAAAAGGATAGAATGAACAAAAGATAAAGTGAAGGCTTCATTAACACTGAATATAATAACAGTGACTAAAATACAAGAATAAAAACAATTAAAATCAGAAGTCTGAATTCAGTACCCAGTGTTCTGCAAGACAGAAAAGTTAACATGAAGTTAGCAAGTACTGTCTCCAACTCACCACAGTATCAAGTTGCACATTTAACAAAATAGCCATTATTTTATGAAATTGCCTTCTATCACTGTACTAACTTTAATCCACAAGATTCCTAGCTCCACTCAATTACTTCTAAAACTACAGCCCCAAGAAAGAGTTATCCAAGAGCCTAGCAACCTTGCTTTCCCTACATTTTGAAGTGCAGCCCTCAGAGAAAATACACTATATATACAAGACACTGCTTCACAACTGAGCAATTCTACAAATACAGAATGCAAAATAAAATGGTAAAAATGTTATAGCTAATTATCTTGATGAAAGGCAACTTCTTACATTTAGAAATAATTCTTACATTTTAGATTTTTGAGGCTTGAACAACTTAGGGAACTAGTGATAAGGAATGGGGAAAGGACAAAATGCTGTGCCAGTCTCTCGCTTACAGGAGTTTGATAAAAGCAAAACATTAATACAGAGAAGCATCCGTGACTTCCTAAAAGGCTGGGTTTCATTAACAGAAATTTAGGAACCAATTCAAGAAACATTTGTCCCACTTCTCTTTCAGCCATMTATGCCAATACACAGGAAACAGATCTTTGCCCTTTCTTTTAAAAGCTAAGAAAGTGGATTAGCTTAGAGCACTAAATGAGCTTTAGCTAGGGCCGACTTGCAGAGCAGTCCCTACCGACACGTGAGTTGCCCCACAGTCCCGGGGCTAGAGCTAAGGCAGCCCCACACTGGCAATCAGAAGTTACCTGCTGTACTACAGAGCCCTAACAAGTTGGGTCATTGCAGTTAGATGAATTTCAGACTGTCTGAATGAAAATCTTCCTTATTACGCTCATAGAAARCATATAGTAAGTTTAGTGATCTTTTCATAGATTAAAGAAATAAAACACAACACACACAAACCAGGCACATACCAGGCTCTATAAAGCTCTAAGTTGTAGGAAAATTCCACCCATGGATTTTAGTTGGACTCTAAAGCAGTTTCTCCTGTTACACGCTGCGTTTGCAGTTAAATGTCAGTGACAAAGGCTACTCATTCAACAACACAATAGCTCATAATACTATTAAAGTTCACTGCTTCATTGCAGAAATCTATTCAAAGGGAGTCCCTACAGCTCTAACATAGAAGTCTGAAGAACAAGGCAATCTCTACTAGCACTTTGTTACAAACTAGTTGAAGTCACTGATTTTTTCCGAGAGAGAGCGATAAAAAAAAAAAAAAAAAAAATCACAAAGCAATTTCAAAATTTGTCACCAGTAACTTCCCCTATTTGCCACCAGAAGCTATACTTGCAGAAAATTCTTCACAAGCAACTCATGAAGCCACAATCACCTTCAAATTACAAAAAGATGAGTCAAAAACTATTTTTTTTAAAAAAAAAACCTCTCCAAGTCCTGCAATATACGTGCTCTTTTGATTTTAAAAGCACATTTCTTTTCAGATAAAGCCACTGTGTACAAATAAACAGTTATGGTTGCACAGAAAATATCTCCAATCTCTGCTTCAATCATTCCTTCTGCAAGGGCTTTTTCCAGATATGCCCTCCCTAACCTACAAGCCCAGCAGAGCTCCCCAGCGCGCCCATCCACCACCACGGCCCCAGGCTCCGCGGCCCCAGCCGCGTGCAGCCCGCTCCGGCGCCACAACCCCAGCCGCGTACAGCGCGCGCCGCTCACGCACACGTTGCATTTTCCTGCCCGGAGGAGCTCCTTCACGGCAAGGCGCGCGGGGCGAGTGCCCTGGTGCCGTGGGGGGAGAGCTGTGACCGCCCCGCGCGGGCGGCCCYGGAGCCAATGGCTGGCGCGGCTGCCCGGGGGCACGGGCAGCCTGCAGCTCCAGCGGGGGAAGCCCATGGAAAGCAGCCTAGAGGGAGGCTGAGCTGAACGTCTGCTGCACCCACAGCGGCCGTGAGCAGCCCGTCAGCAGCCCCAGTCATGTATTTTTGCTCAGGTGCAAGCCCTCTAAGTGACAGCAAGTTTGTCTCTCAGCTCCTAAAGCAGAGCACTCTAAGTCAAAACATCTGCTAAGGGCTTATAGCCTTATTATTACTTAATATCACTGACCTGCCACCGAACATCCATTGCAAAAGCAGTTCTTCCACCATAAGCCATGTATTCTTCCTCAGCAGAACAAACCAGGGACTGCTAAAAATTCTTCTTATGCAGTTGTTATTTTGAACAGATAAAACAGACACACTATTAGCAGTGATTACTTTCATGCCTTCTTCCAGATTAAGATGAGACTCTCTGAGGCACGTTTTGCATAGTTCTCAAAAGATGTTTTGTTTGCTTAAAACAACCTTGAGTCTACCATACCAAAGTCTGAGATTTGTTTCATTCTTCCTGCCATCACTGCCATTCCTATTTATATTTCCTGGATGATGAGAATTCTGGTATTGCTGGAATAGTGCTTCCTTCCAAAGCAAGAAGGAACAACAGAACGACATGGTTAAAGCAAAGTAACACACTACTCAACTTCAGGTCAAATACCACCAAAGAAACACACTGTGCAACTCTAAGAATGATACCACCTATTACCTTTGTCACCTAGAGCTCAGAAATCAGAAGGCTTTCCTAAGAAAGAAAAGCCTATATTCAATCCCTATCACTGCCTTTCTCAACACAGAAAATTCCCAACTCAGACTCGTAAGACTGTTCTCCGAGAGCTGTGGCTTGTTGGCAAGAGGCTTTGAAAGGGGCTTTGTTCCAATTCCTGTAAGAAGGTGTTCACATTACCAGTAAGCTGGCACCTCTTCCTTCTAGCGAGTTTTCTAGCTGCCAAACTACCAGAGCCCTCCTTTGTTGCTTGTGTGATGCCCATAAAGTGAATGCTTCATTAGAAAAAATAAGCTAATCAAAACTGCCAGATATTCTAGCTTTAAGTTCTCTCTTATCAATTAAGCACCCTAATCTTTCCCACTTGTAGAGCACAGATCTATACAAAATCCTTCAGCTACTCACATGAGGACCTGAGCTGCMATGCTCAGTGTATCCTGAGTGGCTCTCCCAGAATGGCTGGGGTTAGAAGGGACCTCTAGAGATCATCTAGTCCAGTCCCCCTGCTCCAGCAGGGACACCTGCTCTAGCACATGGCACAGGGTCACATCCAGGCAGATTTGGAAGATCTCCTGGATTTTAAAGGATTTTTAATGCATAAATGCATATAAAACAAAGTATTTCAATTTCTGCACTATACCGAGACTGTCATGTTGGTTTGCTTGGGTCTTCTYGTGCATGGGGTGCAGCAAGGGATGAAGGCCACAGCCCGTTTTTTGGAACATGAGGCAAGGGTTTATAGATTAGAGATGGCTTTTGATGCTGTTGTTATTTTGGAAGAAGATTTACTTAGCTTGGAAACTTAATCACTGAATAGTTTGACTGAAATCTTACTGACATCTAGTCTGCAGTCAAACAAGTCCTAGATAACAGTGACTCAGTCTTGGGATAAAATTAAAAAAGTTAAAAAAAAATATTTAAGAACTTTACTTATAAAGTTCTTATACTTCATACTTTTTACTTATAAAAAAATAAAAAAAAAAGAACAAGCAGAGCAAAAGACAAGCTCAAAGGCCAACATTTTAAAAACAAATAAACAAATTAATTTTTCAAATAGCACTGGGAGGTGCTTCCCCCCCCTCCCCCCCCGCCCAAGTCCTGTATCAAAATTACTGTGTGATAAAAGTTTGCTTTTACCCAAGAGTAAATACCAGGGAAAAGCTTCACATAGATAAGGAACAACGTAGCAACTTAAAACTGCAACTGTCTCAACATGCTTAACTACAGAAGCCAGTACTCTAAAACAAATTGTAGTCAAATATATTCAAAATTATCACGTCCTTGAGCATGTTCTGTGGCAACACTGTGAGAACTTAGAGCAAAACAACTTGTGCTGCAGCAAGATTGCAACCGTATGCTGTGATATTCCACGAAAATCTTCAGCAAGTACTTGAGGCTTTTTTATTATTAAAACAGAAACCCAAGATACCGTGAAACATACAAGCATAGAGTTCCACTTAAAAAAAATAAATAAATAATAATTAAAGCAGGTCTAACTCAAACCCTTTTTTAGCCATCTGGTAGAGGGCAGAAAACACTACAATGGATTAGAAGAGCAATGCTCATGCCAGTTGTTTTAACTAGTTTCTGAAGCATTAAATTGAAATACCCTCTTCTGCCTTACAGAAACGCTCCTGTTAACAGAGCGGCGAACAGCTCACATGACGGCGGCCGCAGGCCCCGGCCTCCAGCTTTTGCTCTGGAAATGAAAGGGCGACTGTTCCCCCAGCCTGCAACTGCCTTACTGCAGGTCCTGCGGGGYCCAAAGGAGACAGAGCTGCACTTGGTGTGACTTTCTAAGCCAGCAGGGCACAGGTCTGTTTTTATTCCACGCCAAGTAGCTTTGCTAGGCRGGACTGAGCGCATTAGCTTAAGCTCAAGCACCAAGGGGGCTGAAGCTGCCTGGCCCCGGGCAGCTCTGGGCACAGAGGAGCCAAGCGTGGGGTGGGTTTCAAGGCCGCGCCGAGAGGCACCCCGTGCAGCTGCACAAAGCCTGGCATCTGCCAGGAGCTTTCTAGTCATATTTTTAAATGCTACGTTTGAGGAAGGGGCAGAGCTGCATTCATCAGCCAAACTCAACCCTTTCTTACACAAACAGGCCACATGAAGCAAACATTGCATTCTTTGTTAACGATGCAGCCTGTACATTAAAGAGGATCTAACCTTCAGCGCAGTTTGGGGAGGCTGGGGCCTCTGCTCATTGCTTCATGAGTCTAAACGAAGAACTGCCCACTGCCCGACTCCAGGGTTTCTCAGGACAGGCAGGACAGCTGCCAGGGCCACCAGGCTTTGGACACAGTATCAGGGAGATGTGCTGGTTTGGATCCTGCTAACATCACACAATTGCACATCATTTAGAGTGGCAAGTTTACTGTCTAGAGAGGACCCTGCTGAAGTCTGTTACTTGAACAGACAACAGCTGCCAGAGTAGTATGTGCTGTACTGCACGGACCACTTCGGCCATCGCCCTGCAAGTCCTCATTCATCTGCACGTGAAATGATGGAGTGAGGGGTGAGAGAGGGAAGGAGTGAGGAGGAGAAAGAGAGAGAGAGGGAAAAGTAAAGTGTAWCAATTTCTAGAGCAGCTCATTTAGCATAATATTATATCTGGACTCAGAAACACCCCACTGCAGCGACAGATGGAAGAAATTCACTGTGTACAAACAGCACAATGACAAGAGCTTCACTTCAACGCGTGCAAGCGCGCGGCCGCCCGGCGATGGCGCTGAGCCAGGCCGCGCTGGCGGCTTGTTAAAAAAAGGAGCTTTTCCACATTCAAAGCTCTGCCCTTCACCRTTACAGCACCCCCTGCATCAGCTGCTTTCTCACAAACTCTGCAAATTGGCAGCCTTGGGAGGTTTTTTGTTTTTTTTTTTCTTTCTTTTTTTGGATTTCCAGATAAATCTTAGATCRCTGTACAAGAACTACAATCAAGACTATTTTAATCCTATTAAGGGCATCTTACCAAGATGAAATGTTTTAATCTTCTACAACCAYCTGTGAAAAGTTGAAATACCATTATCCTGGAACTAGAGATGGCACAGAAATGCACTGACAGCACATCCAGGTGTGAAACAACATACTAAGAAACAGATAAAATTGTGTTTCGTACTTGACATTACTTAAAGCACAAACATGCAGAAGTCTTTCCTTGTTAGAGACTCAGAAGGAGAAAAAAAAACACACACACACACACACACACACACACATATATATATGAGAAGTCAAATTACAGTTAGGACAGTTAGGATAGACTCTTCTGAGTCTATCAACTAACTGAATCAATCTGTTCCCATGTAGAACAGTTTCTCAGCAAGACCAAATACCACCAGCTAATAAATAACAGCTTGAGTCTTTCAATAAATGCTACACTTTCTGAATGAGTATTCATTCCTGTGTCTTTCTCCTCAAGAAAAGGGCAAGACCATGAATCGCAGCAATTCACAAAGTCAAGGCCAAATCTTTGCCCTCAGCTTTCCCTGACACTTCAATCCTCCTCTATTTTTATAACTGCATCCCAGTCACAGGGGGTTTACCATCACCTTTAACTCTTTGYTTTCCCTTGGAAGGCATTTAGCTCATCCTACTAATAAAATCAAATATCTGTGTAATATTTTCTTTCATCATGAAGAAAAATCACTGCCTACAACTGAAAGCCCTGCAAATTTTAAGAGGAAGGGAAAGCAACCTACCCGCTACGCCGAGCGGGCCCATTCACGAAGCAGGCGGTGCCAGCACCCCGAACCCCACTCGCTCGAGCGCAGCCTTATGCAGCAAACGAGGCATCCAGGAAGGAAGGCAAACCCTGAACCTGCCTGCGACCACAGCTACCTAAACAGCCTAATTTCACCACAATTTGTTATGCTCCAAAACAGTACATGTGTTTGCATGTGTGCAACACATGCCAACATGTGTTGCTGTTTGCATGCTACTGGAAGAACAAAATAAATTCCACAAATTACATCTCTTATCACATTAAGTTCAACTTATACCAAGTGTATTCTGCATATTTCAGCCTGTTACCACAGGTACACACCAAATGTCAGCTAATTCCTCCATCTGTTACTAAACCTCCACCATGACAAATTCACAGCTACTATGCGGGCACGCTAAAAACAGTACATTATAATAGCACATTAAATCAGACGCTTTCCTAACCTCAGAGTAAACAAAATTCAGTAGCATTAATTTTAGAAAAATAATCCAGATAGAAGGGGTTGATTTGGGGAGAGTGGGAAAGAAGAGTCTTCACAAATTAAAACAGCTTATGGAAGAAACAAGACAAATTGAGAAGATGAGACCTGCCCTTCTGCAGGCGTGAAATACCAGTTCAGCTCAGCCTTAGCATGCAACTGTACCCTAAAAACACATCGTTTCTTGCCAAATTCTTCTATTTTCCTTCTGCAGTTTGCAGTTTCATACATTCAAGTCTGAAATAGCTTTTATAAAGGAAGATGTTGCTAGACAAAAGCCTGGCAGAACTTTAAACTTTCAGGAGCCTAATCTCCCTTAGCAGGATCACCGAAAGTATTAATTTTC